TCGAAGCAATGGATGATTCACCTTAACGCTTTCGCCCATAACCCAAGTCCACCATTTTCTTCCCAGCTTTTTAGTCGTAACTTGCGACGCTTGTGGAACTAGTCTGAAGGAGCATAATCAAGAGAGCAGAGAGAATCAACAAAATACGGACGATAATCACTGTTAACCCTAGTTCTCTTACCTGGCCAAAATTCCCGAACCTCCAGATTTTGTTGTTGACAATTTGCCTGACCTGGAGAAGATTGAACCACTGCTGCTAATTCATTAAAGGATCTTGGACCACTCCTCTACTTGGATGATTAGGGCCAAAGAAAACCCCAATAACTGCTAGATTCCAACTTTGACTAGGTCCCCTACTATTCGCAATTAAAGAGTCTAAAATAACTCCTTAGCGAGTCTAATCTTCCATGCTCTTATAAAGAAACGACCAAGAGAATAACGAGTACAGAGGAATATATATTAAGAAAGGCGAAAACAGAGGAGATAGCAATAAATAATTGAGATAGGAGACTTAATTTATAGAGAAAAGGGATGTGGGGGTAAAAAGAGATAAATTAATTAAGGAGTAAGAAAGAACTTGCATGTATGAGGACAGATGTTGTCCAACAAACAAAAGAACAAAGCAAAAATAAACACCTAGCTTCCCACTGAAGCAGAATTAAACACCTTGCTAAGGTAAACAGTACCTATAGATTACCTTAGGAGTAGAAATAGAGGGCATCAATCCACGCTGAGATCCCGACAAGTGTAATTGTAGAGCCCCACCAAGAACAAGAACCCTAGAACTGAGATAGGGATGCGACTCTAAAGATTTAAATTTTTTAGAGAGTATTTGACCTGTATTGCCAACAACTAAAAAGGATTTTCAGAAATGTCTAAATATGACAGGCAAATCGCGTGCGTTGTTATCCCTCTAGTATGAAAATTTGTTTTAAAAAAAAGGTCACCATTTAATGTAGCTAGCAGAAAGAAAGGTTGATATTGAGAACTAAATTTCCTTTGAAAGTTTTATAATTTGAGCTTTTAAATATTTTTGTACTTAAAAGTATATATATGATCACTCTTGATAAAATATTTTACCTTAATATTTCCTATGTCCTAGAATATTTGACACAATCAAATTTTACACACATGTCGACACATTTGTTTCACTTTATTCTTATCACAAACTTTTTAAAAATCGAGTGTACAATATTTAGTGTACATCTATTATAAAGATAGCCTAAAGTGACTAAAAGTTACCCCTGAAATGAATAAAAGTTCCCCAATATGCATAAAAGTAACCCAATACAAATAAAAATTATCTACGCTTTATTAGTAAAGAATCACACTAAAAATCAATTATTAGTGATTGAATGTAATTAAATTACCTTTATAAAACTTTTCTTGTTGTCTTTTATTTAAAAATCGTACTATGTTTAAAGTTATCCAAAAAAAGGCAAAAAAGATACTCTAAAATTAAATAAAAGTTACCCATATACGGATCGATGACACTAATATTAGTGTAAATCGGGTGTATATAAAAGTTTTTCTAGTTTTATATAATTATATATTAATGAAAATAAAAAAGTTATATTATGAAACTTAATATTAATACCTATTTAACAACATACGTTATGATAAAATATGTTTTTATTTGGTTAATCAAAAAATTATGGTGAAATATAATAAATGAATAGTGAAAAAAGTTCAACATCCCTGTTTTTTTTTTGGATGAAGGGAGCATTTATAAAGAAAAAGGACTAGAGTAATACTAAATCGATATAAAATATTTGAAAAATGGTAATGAAATACAAATATAATATATTCCCTATAACCAACAATAATTAACACTTTAGACTTTTTTCACTAGTAAAACTAAATCCGACCATAGTTTTAAAGTAACGTAATAGAAAAGGAAAAAAAAAACAAATTTTATCATGACATATGTTGTTAAATAGGTACTAATTCGAAGATGAAAAATTCTCAATGATAACCCCCAACTAAGGCTACATTGAAATGATGACCCTTCTTTTTTCCTTTCTTACCAAATGCTCCTAAAAAAGAATGTATCCCACAAATAAGCTCATCTATAATATAATTGCAGAGTCAGTTCACCACGGCCCTCCAAATCCCCAAAACTCAAATCTCATGCATTTGAGCTTTTTTTTTTTTTTTAAAAAAAATTTATTTTTGTACAAACCAATAACTACCCAAGTACCCATCCCACATTCCCACTATATTATTTATTTATCAAAGTCAGTTCATCACAACCCTCCAAATCCCCCAAACTCAAATCTCATGCATTTGAGGTTTTTTTTTTTTTTTTTTTACAAACCAATAACTACCCAAGTACCCATCCCACATTCCCACTATATCATTTATTTATTTTTTAATTTTTTTTTTTAAAAAAAAACATCAATAAGGACAATAACTAACCATCCCACCATTTATTTTTATTTTATTTATTTATTTTTTTGGTATTTTCAAGGTACTTCAATAATTAATAAAAATCCACTTTTTTAAAACACTACTAACATTTCATTTTGTGTTATTTTCTTAGCGTATAATATATGTTGCGCATTAGCACACATGTACCGTTCCTTTATCAATAATTCACCATAGCACTCTAAATCCCCAACCCTTCACTTATATGCATATTTTTTGAGACTATCCTACAAACAAATTCCACTTCTTCTAAAAAAAATAGTAATAAGGGAAATTCTCTTTGGCGAACTCTAACTTCTTAAATTTCTTAGTGGTAAACATTCTTAAAATTTATTATCAATGGTAAACCTTTATTAGCTTTACTAATGCATTGGTAACATTATTGATGATTTTTATGTACTTATTTGGCTAACCATAGTTAACTACAATACTAATGACTAATTTAACCTCATAAAATAAATTATTTAAATAATTTTTTTTAAAATATTAAAAAAAACTACTCCTCCCTTATCCCACCTAGCCACCACTAGCAGCTCCTCCCTCTGCCGGTGGCCAAGCCCCCCACTATTTCGACAACCAGCCCGCCCCTACCTCCGCCGTCGCCCGGAGAACCTTTTCCCGCGTCGGTGACCCATCCCCCATCCCCCTCCCTCCTACCCACTAAACCCACCACCCGAAACTCCCAAATACCCAACTCGAAACCTCAATAAACCCTCCCCCCACCACGTTAAAACCCAAATTCGGCCCTTTCCTACCCTCGAAACCTTGGGCGACGAAGTTTTGAGGGTGGGGGAGGGCCTGATTCGAAGTTCAAAGTGGTTGGGGGGAGGGTTTAATTTTTACGGGTTTCAGGTTGGGGATTTAATTGGGGGTTTTGGTTTGGGTTTTCTGGTGGTTTTAGGTAGGGGAGGCTACGTCGCCAGCCACGGTGGGGAAGGCCGGGCGTCTTCGACCTGGAGGTGGAAGCCTGGACACCTACAAGGAGAGGGTTGCCGCCGGTGGTTAGGGGGTCTAGGAGGAGCTTGGTTTTTTTTTTTTTTTTTTTTTTTGTAAAATATGTTTTTTTGGTTGAGTGTAGTAATTAAGGGCTTCTTAGTCATTTTGATTTTTTTTTTAAATTTTAAAAGATAATCATGGTTAAGGAATCAATTAATTATATCAATAATGTTACCAATGCATTAGTAAAGCTAATTAAGGTTTACCATTGATAATAAATTTTAAGAATGTTTACCACTAAGAAATTTAAAAAGTTGGGGTTCACCAAAGAGAATTTAATAATAATAATAATAATAATAATAATAATAATAATAATAATAATAATAATAATAATAATACCTCTGCTTGGCTTCGAGCGGTTCCTATTTTAGGGTTGGGTCAGACGATGAACGCCAAGACTTATCGCTGTGTGTTGTCCTATCGGTTGGGTGTTCCATTGTTCTCTATCTCGACGTTGTGCTCTGCTTGTTCGAGGGTTTTTGCTGGAGATATTTTCGGTGATCACGCGGTGTCTTGTGCTGGTATTGTGGGTATTAAACATCGGCATAATGTTGTTCGGAATACCCTTGTTGATGTTTGCTATCGTTCTGGGATTTCAGCGAGAAAAGAGGTTGACATTGGGTTGGCCGGAGGGAACGACGAGGCCCTCAGACCGCGGATGTGTTACTTTATTCATGGGATCGTGGTCGCGATGTATGTGTTGATTTGACAGAGTCTTCTTCTTTGACACAGTCAGGGATATCTGACTTCATTCCTGGGCAGGTTGTAGCTGATGTAGCTCATCGGAAGCGGGTTAAGTACGAAGGTCGATGTCAGGCGATTGGATATGGTTTCATTCCCTTCTCCTTTTCTTCGGTTGGGGAATTAGAGAAAGAGACTGCTGCGTTACTGAAGCGGATTCAGAGGTTCTCGACAACGCAAGACATTGAGGCTCGTGCTGCAGCTCATATCTTCACTAGGGTAGGATTTGCAATAGCTAGAGGAGTGGGGGCCCGGATTGTATCTCGGCTTCCCACTAATTTATTGTAGGTTGTATGACTTTTGTTTTTGAGATATAATAATAATAATAATAGTAATAGTAATAGTAATAGTAATAGTAATAATAATAATAATAATAATAATAATAATAATAATAATAATAATAAAATTAATAATAAAATGTACAGCACGCTATTTGCGTGACTGGTCTCACCGAATAGCTACTAACTAAGTATCCCCTATAACACGGAATGAGTAACCTCTATAGATTTAACAAAGTAGCCCTCATAATAACTAGCCACATTTTGTGGCCAACCACATATAAGAGTCGGCCCTGCTTTTTTTAGTTTCTAAGCAAAGCATTGAATATCATATTTCAGCAGAGTAGAATAGGTGTCGGCAGATTACTAAAAATACTCAATAGAGCAAATTTGAACAGAGCACTGTAAAGTAAATCAGACCGCAACAGCTCTAAAAAAACATGGCCTAAGTTACTACTACCTCCGTTAACTTTTATGTACAACTTTAGAATATTTTATGTCTCATTAATAATACCCCAAAGTTGCAAATAAAAGTTAACGGAGGTAGTACATCAAATCAATTTCCCTATTTGATATAATTTTTTCTTGTATTATATATTTAATTTTTTTCTAATATAAAATATATCCCGTGCATTTTGCACAGGTACACTCTAGTTTTCATAAATGATTAATTAAAAGTAACAATGGTTTAGTGGTTTTTTTTTTCCTTTTAAAAAATAGTCACCTCCTCCGCCATCACCTTCATCCCCATATCATCCAAACCTAGCCACCACCACATCCACCCTCACCTTTTCACCTGAACAATAACCGCCCCAAACAAAAATTCAATCCTACCCCAATTGAACCCGAACCCCCCACATGAACTACCAAAACTCTACCCGAACCACTTGATTAGAGGGACTTTACCTCTAATCGCCAAAACTTCACACAACTCTCACTTGATTTGACGACGTCTTGAGTAGTGAGCTACGGTGGTTGTCTGAGGATTAAGCAGTAGGCGCCATTAGTAGTGGGGATTTGGGTCACGTAGGGTGGGAGGATTAGCATTTCGATTGAGGTAGGTAAGGGTTTTGGGTGTGGTGGGGTGGTGGGGGCTGTGTTGGTTGTTGCGGTGGTTTTTTACAAGTGTTTTTTTGTTTCTAAAATTCTAACCATAAATAATAATAACCAATTGTATCCCTAGTGAGAGGACTATTATATTCTCAAAATATTTGATTCGTGCTTGTGATTTAATAATTTGACTCTTGTGAATAGTGTTTGGAAAATTATACCTTCTATAATTTTTATTTATTTATTTGTCTGTATAATTGTTATTTGTTTTTTAAGGACTCATTAGAATATTGTGTAAAATATATGCTTACATATTTAATATTTTCTCTCATTAATATTGCTAAGAACGGAGAGGCAAAGGACTTTTCGAACATGGCTAAAGATAATGGACACATCGCGCGTGTTAGCTACTTTTAGTATGAAAATAATTTATTTGAGGAAATATAATCTTAATTAAGGTCATTGTGTAGTAAAAGAAAGAAAAAAAGGTCAACCATTCAATGTACCAGAAAGAAAGCGTTGCCATTGAGAATCGAATTTTCTTTCAAAGTTTTATAATACCAACTTTAAAACTCAAGATCACCTTTTTCTTTTGTGCTGTTTTTCAAGGGATGTTTGGTCTTCTCCGGCTGTCAGTAACTGGGTTGGACCTCCTATCTCTGCTTCTTCAATGCATGCCCTTTTTCGCTCTCTTAAAAGTTCCTCCCCTTGTATTCCCAAGGTTGTCATTATGTTATGGAGCCTTTGAAAAAGACGTAATGCATTTTCTTAAGCATTCTTTTCCTACTATTGATAATGTCTTCTGTCATGTATTTTCCCTTTTTCAAGAATGGCAAGCTCGTTCTCTTATGAATAACCTCCAATCTCCTGATTTTCCTGTTCACTCCTCGCATACCCACTCCGCCCCTTCTTTTATTTCGTGGGCCTCTACCCCTCTGGGATTTTGTAAACTTAACTTTGATGGGTCATCTTCCACCAATTCGGCAACTGCTGGTATGGTCCTTAGGGATCACATGGGGAATCACATAGCTAGTCGCACTTATAATTGGGCTCTTGCCCAACTTTTTTGGCCGAGGCTATTGCTCTTCATAGTGGCCTTTTTTTTTAGCCCGGGATCATAATATCTCTCATATTTTTATTGAAGGTAATAATCTTATTGTTATTAATATTTTGCAGGGAAATTTCAATTGCCCTTGGAAACTGCAGCTACTCATGGCCGAATGTCACCAAGATTCTCGAGTCATTTGTGGCTTTCGATTCCCGCCACATTTACCATGAAGAAAATCGTGCAATAGATTATGTTGCTTCTCTAGACTATTCTACTTCGACAAATCAAGATATTGACCCGTTTATAGACAACAAGTTTTCTTATTTTTTACTTTTTGACAAATTAGGTTATAGTCTTGTGAGAAAACCTTCCTAATTTTCCCTGTATTTTACTTTAAAAAAATAAATAATATCGACTTTAAATATATATTTACTTAGGTCATGTTTGGTGGTAGCATTTGAGGTAGTAATTGGCGTTTTGATCGGCTCAAAACACTACTAGAAAAAAAAATATCAGTGTTTGGTAAGGTAGCGGTCTGAGTAGCGGTTAGCGGTAGAGGTAGTGTTTAGGTAGCTTTTCTCAAACGTTAAAAAAATATATCAGCGTTTAAGAGTAGCGTTTATTAATTTTTGCTTAGTTTTTTTTTTTTTTTTTTGGAAATTTTCAAATAATTTGCAAATTGCAGTCATTCAAAGTTCGTATTTTGCAAATTGCATCCCAAAACTTCGTATAAATTGTAAATTGCAAGCCAATTCAACTTTTTCATCGGTTTACATGTCAAAAAAATTCTTCGGTTAAGGATTTAGGGGCCATTTTAACCCTTAGGTGTCCGAATTGAGCTCGGAATTAGCAAAACAATAACGTAAGTTTCTCATTTTTATAGTTTCCCACTAATTGATAAATTTTTGTTAAGTAAAACGAGGCATTACATTATTTTTTTGCTAATTCCGAGCTCAATTCGGATACTTAAGGGATAAATGAGCCCTCTAAAACCTTAATCGAATATTTTTTGACTTGAAACCGATGAAAAAGTTGAATCAGGTCGCAATTTACTATTTATATGAACTTTTGGGCTGCAATTTGCAATTTTTTTTAATGACTGCAATTTGCAAAATACGAATTTAAAGTGGCTGCATTTGCAAATGTTCCTTTTTTTAAAACTATTTATACGATTATTAGTATATTTTAGTATTGCAACCCACTACTTTTGCCAAATACTATCAGCCGTTACTTTCACAGCTAACCTCTACCCACTACTTAAGGCAGCTAAAAGCTACTTGCTAAAAGCTACCTGCTACCGCTAATTTTGCCAAACAGAGCCTTAAATATATACTTTGTATATATAAAACTATTATATTGACATATGTACCAAGTTTTATTATGTCAATATTCTAGAATAGAATGAGTAAACTTAAGATAGAGTGCCTTACATGTGACAAATGACATAATTAACGTTACATTAAAATAAGGGTTTTTTTTACATTATAAACCTCCAACTTTCCGTTTTCTACGATGTGCCCCCTTTTTTGAGGTCACATTGTAGCCCCAAAATACATTTAGTTTCTATACATTAACCTTTTCGTTAACAAATTCCGTTAGTGGGGCCTATTCACCACTTAATATTTTTTATCGATTAGCGTGTTGAAAATGGTTTCGTTAAAGGTTTTGGGGGCTATTTTGACTTTTAAATTAAAGGTCTAAATTGAGCTCAGATTTAACCAAAAAAAAAAACTACATAAATGCCTTGTTTTGCATATTAATAAAAAAAATCTTGATTTGCGTGTTTACGTATTTAATACGCAAAACGAGACATTTACGTCATTTTTCTTTTTTGCCAAATCTGAGCTCAATATGGATTCTTAAGGGACAAAATAGCCCCCAAAACCTTTAACAAGACAATTTTAAACGCGCAAATCGATAAAAAATAATTATTAAGTAAAGAGTGGGCCCCACTAACAGAATTTGTTAACATCAAGGTTACCATATGAAAACTAAATGTATTTTGGGATTACAGCGTTGATTTCTCAAAAAGGAAAGACACATCGTATAAAATGAAATATTAGTGTGTTATAATGTAGAAAAACCAAAAAACTAATGTAGCAATAATTACATCACTAGTCACTTGTAAGAATTCTACATAAAATGTGGGTAAAGATTGTGAAAATGCCTCAATTACAACCTTTATTTCACATTGAACTCAATACCATACTTTTTTTTTTGACAAAGAGAACTTAAAAAAACAAAAAAAAAAAAACTAAAATTTAAAACAAAGTAAAACTCTACGGCTTGCTGCACCAGCAAGAGAATGAGCTTCTACAACCGAAGACCTGGAGACCTTCGAAATATGACAAGTAGAAAAAGAAGAGATAACATCCCTGATTTCTTGAATCGTCCAGACCATCGAAATATCCGAAGAACTAGGCTCTTGAATCATCTTAGGAACCGACATACAATCTGTAAATAGGCAAATGCTCATAACACCCCGTTGCCGAGCATGTTTAAGTCCAAAAAGACACGCCAGCAACTCATAATGAAGAGCAGAACTAGCCATACAAGCCCGAGCTCCTCCCCCAATACAAAGAGAATATGAAGGATCCAAAAAACACCATCCAGTGCCAGCATTATGATTCCCTCGATCCCAGGCCCCATCAAAACACATAAGAACTTCACATAATACTGTAGCTTCACCCCTTAACACCTGCCAAGTAGGATGATACGAGAATCTAGGAGGAATACCAGCACAACAACCAACAATTTCACGAGTCGTACCACTTCTAGCACTCCACTCCGACGCTAACTCCAAAACACAATGGGGGGAATAAACTGCTGAACGAAATCGAACATTATTCCTAGTAATCCAGATAGCCCAACACATCCCAAAAAATCGATCTAAAGCAAGCCAGTGCTTGGCAGTAGCATAACCAGTAATAATGGAAGTAAACCAATCAGAAAAAGGAAGAGGAACCTCATGCGAAGGAAAGGAATCACAGGCAATAGAATCCCACAAACGCCAAGTAAAAGGACACTCCCAAAAAAGATGAACCCCCAATTCCGAAGAGCCATGACAAAACACACAAGTAGCATCAATCGGAATGCCTCTAAGAGCTAGAGCATCTGTCGTTGGAAGAGCATTGTGTAAAATCTTCCAGGCTAACATTTTCCACTACGGAGAATGGGAAGACCCTAGAAACGCTTCCACCAAGAGGAATCATTAGTCATACATAGAAAAGAAAAATGTTGAGACACGAGAGCAGCATATGCCGATTTAGTCGAGAAAGCCCCATCCCTGGTATATTTCCAGTAAACAAAATCATCAATTTGCTGCTTTGGACGTTCAAGCCTAAGAATCACCGAAGCAACACAAACAGGGAAGAGCTGCCTAATCAAAGACGTATTCCAAGTCCCAGTATCATGGAGTAATAAATCAGAAACCATCAAAGGACGATCTTCTATAGGAATACAATCCTTGAATTAAACCTGAATAATTGGCACCCAGCAAGGCAGCAATCCTGTAAAATACTAACATGGGTGCCCAAACCTATCTTCCAGGCCAGACCCTGAAATAAAGCTTTGCCGCCTTCCAACAAACCACGACGACCCCAAGAAGGACGAGGACTGGAAATCAAAGGTTTGGAAGAAAGAAAAGAAGGATACTTAGCTTGGGACCCGAGAAGCCAAAAGCTGTGGATTAAACCGCAACCTCCAAACTTGCTTTGCTAACAAAGCCAAGTTAAAAGAATGAAGATGGCGAATGCCTAAACCCCCTAAGCCTTTAGGGATATGTAACAGTGAAGAGGAAACCATAGACAAACCCCTAGCATCTTTATTAGATTTCCACCAAAACCGAGACAACAACGAGTCAATTCGATCACAAATAGTAACGGGAACTTTGAAGACCGAAAGCACATGGTTGAAAGTGGCAATGAGAATAGAATTAATTATTACCAACTTTGCAGCCGCCGATAACCGGAGAGAAGCAAAGGAGGAAAGTCTCCTAACTACCTTATCAACCATAAACTGAAATTCCTTGCACTTCGCACGACCTAAATCCACAGGAAGACCCAAATAGTTGCCAATAGAAGAGCATGACTTTATTCAGACTTGCACAAAAGATTTTTGTAAATTAATCATCTGTCACGAAACCAAGAAAAACTCATTTATCACTGCAATAACCTGGTCACAAGCATCAGTAGATACCTTGAAAAATAACAAAGCATCATCCGCAAAGAACAGATGAGACACGGGATGCGCCCTTATTGAAACTCGTAATCCTTGGAACAAACCTTTTTTCTCATCCCGACGCAACATTAGCGAGAAAACTTCCATACATAAGACGAACAGGCCAGGTAAGGGGATAAAGGGTCTCCTTGACGGAGCCCACATCTAGGAACAAAAGACTGCGAAGGAAAGCCAATAACCAAAATCTGATAAGAAACCGTTGACACACATTGTTGAATCAAATGCACCCAATACGGAGGGAAACTAAACCGAAGAAGAACATCCTATAAGAATTCCCAATTGACCCGATCATAAGCTTTATTCATGTCAAGCTTTAATGCAGCTGAACACAACTTAGAAGAAGTCATAGACATGTAAGATAACAATTCATGAGCCGGTAAACAATTATCCGTCATTAACCTCCCGGGAACAAAGGAATTCTAAGATTCAGAAATTAAGGACGGTAACACGCATTGAAGCCTGTTAGTTAAGCATTTTGCAATACACTTATAAAGCACATTTCATAAACCAATAGGTCTAAACTAAGAAGGGAACTCAGGATGATCTACCTTTGGAAGAAGGGTCAAGAAAGTGCGGTTCCACTCCTTTAGTAAATAGCCATGCGCAAAGAAGAACTGAATAGCCTTAACCACCTCTGACCCAATAGTCTGCCAATGCGACTTAAAGAACCCTGATGTAAAACCATTCGGACTAGGAGACTTATCCGAACCAATATGAAACATAGCATCCTTAATTTCTGAGGAAGAAAAAGGTTGCATCAGGAACTGATAGTTCTCCAAAGAAAGGGTCAGAACGTCCAATTCCTCCCAGTTACAAGAGACCACAGCAAGAGATGTATTCTGACAATTATAGAGCAAAGAAAAAGGACTAAGCAAAAGATCAGAAATCTGATGTTGATCAGAAACCCAATTATCGTCACAATCTTTCAAGCTCATAATTTTATTCCTGCGCCGCCAAGCTAGAACAGAGCAAAAGAGAATACTAGAATCAGATTCACCCAAAGCATCCCATCTAGTTTTACACCTCTATTTCCAAAATAAGAACGCCGCTTGAGCACGAGATAAATTATCTTCTCTAATTAGAAGAAAATCACCTCGAGCCTAAGCCTCCTGCAAATTCAAGGAACCTGAAGTTACAGAATTCTGAAGATCTTGCCAGTCAATTCCCCATCTCCTTTTGTTAGAGACACACCAGTTTAATAAGCAGCGTTTCATATCATCCAACTTACGGGAAACAGAGAACATAAGGGAACCGGAAGAAGGATGTTGCCATTCACCTTGGACCAAAGAAAAAATATCCTTCAAACCCATACACCAAGTCTCAATCTTATAAGGGCATTTTCTAAAATTGGAGAACCCTGCTTCTCGAAGAATAATCGCAGCATGATCCGAAAAAGAATTGGTTGATGGTAAACAGAAGCCTCAGGAAACATGTCCAACCACGAGGAAGTAGCATAACCTCTATCAAGTCTCTCAAAGGTGGGATTCTGAAGTTGACCATTAGTCCAAGTGAAGTGTGGACCATAAAAAGGAATGTCCATCAACTGAGAACCTAATTTCCATTCTATAAAGTTATGACGGCCAGCAATAACAGAGGAACCACCAACTTTATCACTAAAGTACTCAACTTGATTAAAATCCCTTAAAATTACTGCATTCGGTACTTTATGTATTATTCCAGATATTTCATCCCAAACTAATTATCAAAAAGCAACCTGAGGCGAGCCATACACAAATATAATATATTTTATTACTTGACCAGGAAATACCATACTTGTAGCTAAACTTTATGACATAAATTATTTTCTATTTGACCCAAGAAATTTATGTTGACTTTAAGGACTTTTATACTTCCTCCATTTTTTTTTATACTTGTAACACTTTGATTTTTATACAATTTATGTGCTCCACTTTGACTAGCTTTAATAATTTATAACTAATAAAAAATATAGTCATGTGGGATCTTTTTAGATTCGTTTCAGTTAATATAATTTTAATATCTAACATTTATAATTATTACATAGGAAAAATTGCTCTCATTAATCTGAACTTTGCCTCATCCGCCGAAATTAATCCCAACTTCAGTTTATTATCTATCACTCCCAACTTTAGGGGGTATTAATTTTCGTTGCACCCAACAAGTCATCCAACCTGATGTAGCAGGTTACCTATACACGTGTCAACACATGATAGGTCCAAAAAAAAGAAAAAAAAAGAAAAAAAAATTAAAACAAAAATTAAAACCTGATGTAGCAGGTTACCTATACACGTGTCAACACGTGATAGGTCCAAAAAAAAATAAAAAAAAAGAAAAAAAAATTAAAACAAAAATTAAAAAAAAAAACTACCAAACCCAGCCCCTTACCCTTTCCCGGAAAACACCACACCCCCACCCCCACCGCCGGAATATCGGCCCCTTCCCCGAAAACCCCTCCCCCGCCATCGGAAACCGCCGCCTAGCCACCCCTTCCCTTCCCCCACCCCCGAAAACCCCTCCCCCACCCCATCCCTTCCCCAAATCCCACCCAGCTATGAACGAAATTAGCCACCGCTAACAAACTCAGCCACGAACTTCCGAAATCGACCGATTTTCGGTTAAAACCAACCATTCAACCCGAAATTCGGCCAATTTCGGTGGTCTTTTTCAGGGAGAAGTAGTGCGGCGTTTTATGGTGTTTGTTTTCAGCGGCCGATTTTTAAGGGAAATAGGAGGGTGGTCGGGCGTCGCCGACACTAGGAAAGGGGAAGGATGACTGGGTGGCGACCGGCGCTCGAGGGGAACGGTGTTCATGGGTTGGTCGTGGGTTGCTGCGGGGTGGTCGTTGGTGGCAGCGGGCTGCTATGGGGTGGCTGGGTTTGGTTTTAGGATATTTTTTTTTTTACATTTTTCTTTTCTTTTTTTTCTTTTTTTTCAACCAATTACATATTGACACGTGTGCAAAAAAAATTAATTCACACATGTTTACCTGATTGACTGGTTGCAAGTCATTTGGGTGCAACGAAAATTAATACCCCCCAAAGTTGGGAGTGATAGATAATAAATTAAAGTTGGGATTAATTTCGGCGGATGAGGCAAAGTTCAGATTAATGGGAGCAATTTTTCCTATTACATATTGCTAATTAAGGATATAAATGATTGAAATAATGTATCAACAAGCATGGAATATTGTTATATTAATGTATTGAAGTGATTTAATATGATGTTCTCTAATGTTCACTCATCTATTTATATAATTTAACTATTAATATCAGACTATGGGCCTATTCTCATCAGATTATTTTGAGTTCAGTTCAGTTCAGCTCTAATAAGTTCAGTGCAGTTCATCTCCTAATTTTCTTCTATTATAAAATATTTAGTTCAATTCATTTCAACTCATTCCACTCAATGAGAACATGCCCTATGTATGTTACAATATTATGATAATTAATTTAATTACTTTCCCATTTATATATTTATCTTAAATTAAAGCCATATGATAATACTTACATTGTTCATAATGAAACTTTATTTTTTTGAGAGGTTAAATTAAAGTTGCAATATGAACAATGTAAATGTTATCATATGACATTAATTAATTTAAGATACATATATAAATGGGCAAGTAATTAAATTAATTATCATAAATAGTAATACTTACAGTCAAATTAAAATAAATAGATGAGCCATCAATAGAGAACATCTTATTAATTAATTCACTTCAATACATTAATATGTTACATTTATCAACGTTGAAGAATAAATTCATTTTTGAGATTGGGAATTTTTTGATAAAAATTACAAATTAAAAATAAATCAATAGGCAAATAATTTCAACTGTCCATTTTAAAAATTTATGGTATCAAAAGTCATAAGACTACATTAGTATGTTTACAAATAATGTGCATGCATAATGATACTCCGCATAATATAAGCAACAAA